CTCAGCTAGGAATGGATCAATGTTCAGTTGGATAAAGCTTATGCAAGCTGAAATTCCACCTAGAAGAAAAGCACAGAATTAGAGAAGGTTGATGCAGATAAATGTTATATTAGCTTGATCTCAAGCACCCTCTTAAAGTCACCCAGATGCTATGTTTCTTACTAAAAATCAATATTTTCTCTCAGTTTTTTCCCATTTAACTTATCACTATTGTCACTGACTAAAGATCAGGTTGCTGTTCTCTTTCCCATCCCTTTCTTTGCCAGTCACATTGATATGGTACATTGATATGGTCTTGGCAGTGTCAATATTTTTGACATGTCTACAGAGCATGGAGCATGCTTAACCCTGATTTTAATAACATCAACAGCTGAGCTATCAGAGCAAATGATCTGTTTGGGTGTCATTAGAGTGCTGTCAGGACACAACAGCTGATCTCAGTTGATACATTATGGTCACTAGCCAAATCAGCCTTTTGATCCAATGTTGAAGATTAGAAATGATATGAATCTATGAAATGGGCCACAGTATTTTCAGCTAATTTGCAACCGCTATCTAAGTGCAATTGCATGGCTGGCTAGGGAATTCTGGGAGTTGAAGTCCACATATCTTAAAATGGCCAAGGTTGAGAAACACTGCTTTAGCTCATCCCCAAAATTTCTTGTACACTCTAGTTCAGGGGGTGTCCAATCTTGGTAATTTTAAGACTTGTGTGCTTCAACTCCCAGAATTCCCCAGCCAACCATCTCCATTCTGTGAGTTGAAATCCACAAATCTTAAAGTGTCCAAGGTTGGCCACCACTGCTCTAATGCGTCCTATAAACACTTAGATTGGAGTGGCATGAAAATCTACAGAATGATATATGGTGGATTTTCAATACTGCAGTCACTAGAAATATGGAACATAAAATGATTCCATTCTAACATTTCACGTGGCTCTCAGAAGAGAACCAAAGTGGCCTGTAATACGTGCCCCCAATGGTATAAAAACAATTACCATATTTTTCCGTCTATAAGACGCACCCTTGTATAAGAGGATCCCCAATTTTGTAAACAAAAATTCAGAAATCAACATTTTAAATATTAAACAAACCACATCTTTAGTTTTGCGCATATTTTCTATTTTATTGGTAGTCAAAACAATGAAGACAGACCACATCTTTAGTGGCAGTAAAACAAGTGGCCATGCACAGCATTTACTATCACAACAGGCCACATCATTAGTGGCAATCAGAACAAGTGGCCATGCATAGGGCCATCCACAGCATTGGTACAATGCTCAGCAGGGGTGGTATGCTCTTTACTCAGCCTCTATTGCAACACTGCTTTGTTCTTCCTCACCTTCAAACATATCACTTTCTTCAACTTCTATTGCATCATTTTCTACTGAGTCATTGTCTCTATAGATGAGATCGTCCTCAGTTCCGTCCATGGCACTGCTGATTCCACATTTCTTGAAGGACTTCACAATAACCTCTTCCTTGATGCCATACCATGAGTTTAGAATCCAAATGCAAATCTCAGTAATGGTTGGTTTTTTCACTCTTCCTGTCGGTGTCAAGTTATCACCTGCTTTTTCAATCCATCTACTCCATTCTTCTCTCATCAGGGCTTTAAATGGCTTGTTAACTGAAACATCCAGTGGCTGTAGCTGCCCTGTAAGTCTACCAGGAATAACTGCTAGCTGTGTTCGCAAAAGATGCAATCCTTTTTATCTTTTCTGTTAAATGTGCTCAGAAACGATCATAGATAAGTAGAGCTGGCTTCTTTAAGAGCCCTCCAGATCTTAGACCAAACCTTTTCAAACCAAATGGCCATAATGTCTTTGTTCATCCATCCCTTCTCATGCACTTGAACAATAATGCCAGGTGGTATGGTTTCTTTAGGATATGTTTTCTTCTTAAAGATAAGCATAGGAGGCAGTTTAGTACCATCTGCACAGCATGAAAGGACAGCAGTATAGTGTGTCTTTTCATGGCCACTTCTTTTGATTGCCACTGTTTTGATTCCGTTCATATCAACAGTTCTGTTGGAAGGCACATCAAAATTGAGAGCCACCTCATCCATGTTTTCAATCTGACTTTCTTCATAATGATACTTTTTCCAAAGTTGTATGATGTAGGAGTGAAACTGTTGGATTTTTTCCTCATAAACTGGTGACATTTTCTGTGCTAACTTTGTTTGTGCTCTCATGGCCAACCCTTCTCTCTTCATGAAATTAAAGCACCATTTTGCCTTTCCTGTAAATGCAACAATCTTCATTTCACTTGCAAACATTCTTGCCTGACATTGAATAAGCTTGGTTGACACACATAAGCCATTCTGGTGCTGCTCCATAATCCAAGTCTTAAGCCTCTGTTCCAAGTCTAGCTATTTTGCTGGTTTTCCTCTCAAGGCCTTCTTCTGTTCTGGCATCTGAAGGAGTTGTTCTTCCTGATCATACACTCAGAGGGAGGTGGTCCAAACTTTCTCTGCAGCTGTTTCCATGCTCTTTTGCATAACTGATTACATCCAGTTTAAATTTAGCAGAGTAAGACGTTCACTTACTGGTACTTCTCGGTACCATCACACAAGGGAGGCAACTTCCTCCAATCAGATGGTGCTCTGCGGGCTTAGTCCCGCCCACCCCCTCAGCAGTCAATCACTGTACTGAGGCGGCTTCCCGGGGCCTCTTGTGGCTTCAACCCGAGCTGCGCCAGTGAAAAATGGGTCATAGAAGGCAGCTTCAGTGGGACTGGCGGCATCCTTGGGGCAGCATGATCCTCCAGCACCAGGCAGCATCTCAGGCTAGCTTTCTCCCCATCCAGGCGGCAGCTCGGGCCAGCGATATCCTCCTATGGCAGCGGCATGTAAAGAACCCACACAGGCATGCCCTGGGCTGCAGAGGTTACCATTATTTTTTCGTGTATAAGACACTGCACTTGTATAAGACACACCTGATTTTTGAACAGGGTGTTTGCAGGAAAAAATAGCATCTTATACATGGAAAAATATGGTATATTTTCCCAAGCATTCCTTCAAATGGACTAGGAAGCTGTTCTTCCACACCTGGAGAAAAATCATGCTTTCAGAAATATCAGATGATATAGCTCTCTGGGTCCCTACATTTCCATAACCGCAGTTCTGAAGATTTTTTTGTAAATATCTGTATGATTCCCAGAATTCTGTAGGATTTTGATTGCTTTATATCTCCTTCTACCTGCACCATTTTAATCTTAAGCCAGTAGCACTGTATCAGGAGTAGGCAGTCCAATATCCTTTGGAAATGTGGATTTCAATTCTTACCTATCCAAATCATTACAGTCAATATTTGGGGAGTTACCCAAAATATACAGAAGGCCTCAGGATGGGTAACCCCTACTGTATCATCTAACAATGTTTCTGGTCTACCAGAATGGAGGTGTGCAGAAAGTCTAGGTTATATTTAAGACCATTGAGCAAAATAAGAAAAAAGAAGAAGAGACACAAGTTTCAAAATGATTAAGGAAGATTTAGGAACCACTGATAAAGTAATAAGAGATTTTTCTTACTACAGTAACTCTTCTTTATGCCTCTAAGACTCTATACTAGTACAAGCAAGTGGATTTATCTTCATTGAAGTTCTCTATTTTAATATGGTTTCAAGGCATTTATGTATATGATTGCTATGCTCTCTTTCTCCTTTTCCTTCTCCTCCTTTGTCCTCTCTTGCAAAAGCCAGACAAAATGTTTCATTCAGCAGATATAAAGAAATATATCTTGATTGGGAACTCTGAAGGTGCCCTCCAGTTGTTAGTAAAGCTGAAGGAACTTCCCTTCTGAAGTTTTGCAGAGAGGAAAGGAGATGCCACTGGCTTTTATCTCTCCTGATGTGACTCAGCTTATCTCTCCCAAACACTTGAAAGATAGGGAAGATTTAGCTGCATGAGTTGTAAAGATGTATCTTAAATAGAAGAAAAACCATTTTAAATCAAAATAAAATAATCTTGTAGTGGCTTCACCATTGCCTGGGGAAAGTATCCCAGATGCTTCTCTCTTAGAGATGTATTCCCTTAACATCTCATATAGAGTCCAGAAGCCTCAGCCTGATGCCTTGAAGTTTATTGTAATGAAAGCATATGTTTCAATATGGCTGCACATTTTAAAAAATATATATTTTCTTAATTTTTTAACATAATCATCTGGATATTTGGTAAACAGTGTATTGTCTTGGTTACAAACAACAACAATTAGTTTCCTTAATTCCATAATCCACATAGTAGCTTTTCTTGATTTTCTCTTCTTCCAATAATATTCTCATTTATCAACCTTAAATTAGTACATTTCTTAGTATTTTGATAGATAACAATTGGATATAAACATTTTTCTAGTATTTCTATAAGTAACAACTGCATCAATATGAAGCTTTTCTAATTAATCATCTTGATCACCTTATCATAGATCCTGTTTTGTTCTTATTTAAATTTATTTTCCCCACAATGTTTAAAAAACATTTTTACCTGTTAAGATTTTCTTAGAATTAATTACACTTAAGTATTTAAGTCTTTTTCCTCATACAAGCCATCCCAACAATTTTACATTTCTCGTATCTTAAAACAAAAACAAAAAAGAAAAAAGGAAATACTATACTACTTGAAAAATATGTCCCTCTTAAGCTAATACATTTATGTCCAAAAAATTTTCTATTCTTTTTAACCATATTCAACAAATATTTAATCTTTAAGTATTCTGTCTAATAAATCCATAGCTAATCTTTTAGAACTATTCAAAACATTCTTATTAATTGAAATTTTCTCAAAATCCATTACATTTGAGTATCTAAAACATTTGCCTCATATAAATCATCCCAACATTTTTATATTTCTCATATCATTAAAAAACCTGTTAAAGAACCTATCCCTCTTAAACTAAATTTCATTTATATCCAAAATTTTATTTCTCTAACCATATTCAAACAAGTGCTTAATCTTTAAATATTCCATCTGATAAGACCCATCATCTAATTTCTTAATTCTAACTTTAGCCTTTTTTTTTTTTTTGCCAAACATCTTTCCTAATCAATATGCTCCACTGGACCAAAAGGTCTTTCCATAGTTTTGTAGATATTGTTGTAAGTGCAAGAGATGAGTCAAGTAAGTGTTTTTCTGGGAATAGTTAGGGTCCCCAAACAAAAAAGGCTGTAAAGTGCGGAGCCCCGCAATCCCTCGGCTACTTGTGCTACTGTGCAAAACTGGAAACCCAATATGGCTGCACATTAATGCAGTTTGTTTGCTTTTAGTTTAGCATGTTCTGTGCACCCAACCACTGAGGTAACAGTTGGAAACTTATCAGAGAGGGATCCAACTTGGAACTTAGGAGAAATTTCCTGAGAAAAACTAATCAGTCGAATGACTTCCCTTCAGAGGTTGTAAGTGCTTCATAACTTCACCACTCCTCTCTTTTAAGAAGTGATTGGATAGCCATTTGTCCAGAGTGATAAAACGCCTTCTGCTTGAGCAGGGTGTTAGGCTTGAAGACCTCCAATGACCCCATTCATTATTATTGGCAGAAGGTTGATAGCAACTTTTCAGACTAGCCTACTTTATTAGAAAACAGATAATTTAAGTTTGTTCCTTTGCCCTTTAACCAGATTCTTTCTGTTTTGAGGCTAACACACAGACTAACACACTTCTCCAACAATCTCAGAAGGGGTGTTGATCTATGCAGCACAGACTGGGAAGTCTTCAAACACTTGCCACAAGAATGTGCCCTTAACATAATCTAGACATCACTGGTTGTCAGAGATGAACTAAATCTAAAAGAGAACAATTAACAGGTAGTTCATTAGTTATCAAGTCACAAATATTCCATATGCTTTGAATATTATAGACTCAGTTTAATATGCATAATTCCCTTTCATCCGCTCAACTGGTATTCAATCTGAAAATGTACATTAGCCAAAAGAAAGAACCCTGGAAATAAGGAGGAATTTCCCGAGAGTGAGAACTGTTAGGCAGTGGAACAATTTGCCTTGTGGAATTGTGTGTGCTCCATTGTGGAAATTTTCAAGAAAAGATTGGGCAATCATTTATCTGAGCAGGAGGTTGGACTAGGAGTTCCTTCCATCCTAGGATTCTATAATTCCCTCTGTGCTTTGTGCTACAATTATTGTGCTTCTCTGTTATTCATGAACAGACAGCTTCCCACAGGAAAGGCAGGCCAAAGGCCACCAAGAGAGACAGCTACCAGGCTGTTGAGCCACTCCTAGTCCAAAGTGAGATGCCCTCTTTCTGAAGGTCCAAAATGTGGCCATTGTTTCCCTGGTTGCCGAGGGAATGAGGCTGTGAGTTTGCCTGAAAAGCCACCAGCTAATCCACAGCTGCCCATTCTTGCTTCGTGCAGTGAAATAACAACACCTAGCTTGGTTATGGCAGCACAAAGGCTTTTGAGAGTAAGTGTGGCCATCTCAAATCACAAGAAACTGGTAGTAGGGGAGAAAGTCATACTTCCCAATTCTTCTGACTCATATCTATTTCTCTTCTCTTCACAGAACATCTGGAAAATTCTCAGGTGTTCATTCCTTTTCTGTTGTATGAACACCAATATAGAAGACCTTCCTGTGCCACCTGACAGATACTACGACCTTCTCCTTAAACCCTGAGCATGGTGGGGCACCATTGTTGGACTGCAATCTGTAAAAGTCTTTCCCCAAGATTGCTTCCTATCCATAAGAGCCTTGCAGGGGCAAAAAGATGGGCAAACTGACTGGCTGGTCTTAGAAAGGAGAGGCTGGGCTACATGAATGTTGTTTGACATGTCACCTTCTTCTTTTGGTCAGGACTGATGAGATACAGGAATGGGATGAGCAGCAGAGCCACTCTTATCACGGAAAGACATCTTCATTCCCAGAGGTAAGGATGGTTTTACATCATGGACAGTGGGGGTTCCTGCCTCAAAACCGGGTGGAGGGAAGGGAGGACTTGAACCCAGCCAGCCAGCCCAGCAAACTCTTGGATTCATGGAAAGATCTTGATGACATGGAGGAGAAAATACTGGGAAAATATTTTGAAGTTTTTCCTCTTTCTATGGTTTCATATTGCATTTTATTAATATAACTTATCTATTGCTATATTGGAAGTCATAGGCAGCTCCCATACACATTCCATAAAAGCCAAAATATAAAACAGCCTCTTCCTGGCTGCCTCCAAGTTCTTCATTTCAGCAGTCTGACTATTTTGTGGGAGAGGATTGCCTTGCTTTGGCCTTCAACAAAGTAGTTGACCGGGGAAACTGCTGAATCCCGTTTGCTATATTGTGTATAATCATTTGAGTCTTTTGTGGTAGATCCTAGTTATGCTTTCTATGTCTCCTACTTTATATCTGAGGATTTTTTCCCTTTCTATCACTTCCTATCTCATTATTTGATTGGTTGTCTTAGGATTTGTACTTGAAATTAAGTCCCAAAGATTCTAAAGATCATCCTAAAGATCCTAAAGATTGGTCGCCCTCCTCCCTCTTTTCTGGTTTAAAGCCCTTCTGGTAAGTTGAGCCAGTTGTTTCCTGCATACATTCTTCCCAGTTCTTGTGTGGCGCAGCCCATTCTTTACCAAAAGCCCTTCATGTAAGTAGTGCAGAGCATGATCTAGGAATCCAAAGTTCTCTTGGCACCAACCCTTAACTCAGTGGTCATTTTTATAATCCTTTGTTCTTTCATTGGATGTTGACCTTTTGTTAGAAGAACAGATGAAAACACCACTTGTGCTCCTAATTTCTTAATTTTCTTGCCTAACTGTTGGGAATCTCTCGATTTTGTTTCTAGATTCATTGTCGTGCTGTTGGTCCGTATGTGAAGAAATCTCTCCTGGGAAACCTGGCCAGCCTGGCAATCTTAAGAAGATGAGCCTTCTGGATTTCTGGAAAGACCTTTACAGCTTGCAGTGGAAGGTGACAATATTTGCAGAGCCTTTCCAAATAATCGTCACCTCCATTGGTGTAATTGTCCCTGGCACAATTAAGGGGTTGTGCTTCTGAACCTCCCCCTCATGCTTCATCCCTCTCCTGGTTTGAGTAGCACTCTGTGTAAAGAGTTTGGGACCCTTTAATCACAATCTTTAGATGATTCTATATATCCTCTTAACTTTAAGGCTTCAAAGTGAACTCTTCCTTAATGCACTCTTCCTTTCCAAAAGCCCTTCATACAGGTAGTGCAGACCATGGTCTAGGAATCCGAAGTTCTCTTGGTGGCACTAACCCTTAAGCCAGTGGTTCATTTCTATAATCCTTTGTTCTCTCATTGGATGTTGACCTTTGTTGGAAGGACAGATGAAAAAACACTTGTGCTCTTACAATAATTCCTTAACTTTTTTGCCTAACTGCTCGTAATCTCTCAATATTGTTTCTAGGTTCATTGTCACATCCTTGATCCCTACGAGAAGGAGAAGAAAGGGGTAGCAATCATTTTAGTAAGGTTATTGGCTACATATTTGATCTGTGCTCTGGGGAGACAACAAACCTCCCTAGATTGGATGTCTGGTCTACAAATGGTTGGTTCTGTCCCTTGAGAATTGAATCTCCTATCACTAACACATGCCTTTTCTTCCTAGGGAAGACTGGGTTGCTTTTCTTCCAATTACAGGAACACTTGATGGTGCTTCTTTTCCAAGTGAGAATGCCTCTCTTCCAGGTGTCTGTATGCTTTCTTCTAGGGGGAGGCTTTGAAATCGATTGCTCAGCACCAGTGGAGCTGCATAATAGTCCAGTGCAGTCATGAGATGGCTAGTGTGTCAAGGATCATCTGATGGGCCTCTTATTCTAGGAATAGGCACAATTGATGCACCAGTTGGACGTGAGAGATGAGATTCTTAGTCTCAGAGCCATAGGTTTCTGTGCAGGAATAGTGAGTCCATTGCCCCTTGTCATTTTACAGGTTCCAAACTGACCAAAGACAAGAGACAGGTTTTTCATTTCTTTTTTTTTTCTTTTTCTGCCTTGAATCTTTAGTTCCCTCCTGTGCTTAGTTTCTTAAATCACAAAGTCTCAAAGAGGTTGTGTTTTTTTTCCAATTGCTCAATCATATCTGACCTTTGTGACCCCATGGACCATAGCATGACCAGGCCCCCATGTCCTCCACTGTCTCCTGGAATTTGCCCAAATTCATGTTCATTGCCTCAATGACACTATCTAACCATCTCATCCACTGCCCTCCCCTTCTCCTTTTGCTTTCAACCTTTCCAAAGTTCAGGGTCTATTACAATAAGTCCTCTCCTCTCGTTACGTGGCCAAAATATTTGAGCTTCAGCATCAGTATCTGTCATTCCAAAGAACAGTCAGGGTTGATTTTTTTTAGGATTGACTGATTTCATCTTCTTGTAGTCCAAGGGCCTTTCAAGAGTCTTGTCCAACACCACAAATCAAAAGCATCAGTTCTTCAGTCCGTAGCCTTTCATATGGTCCAAATCTTACAGCCATGCGTTACTACAGGGAAAACCATAGCTTTGACTCTACGACCTTTATTGGCAACCTGATGTCTCTGCTTTTTCATTCGCTGTCTAGGTTTACCATAGCTTTCTTTCCAAGGAGCAAGGCTCTTTTAAATCATGGCTGCAGTCACCGTTTGCAGTGACCTTGGAACCCAAGAAAATAAAATATGTCACTGCTTCCATTTCCTGTACCTCTATGAATTAAAGAGTGAGGTCCCAAGAGTCCTCTTCCAGGCTGCTGAAATCGTCTAGGTTGGCTTCCCCTTCCTCAGGAGAATCCTATGAATGATAATGATTCCTTTTTAGCCATCAGGACAAAAGAGACTCAGAATTCCTTAAAAGGGGCCTATTGAATGGGGATGCCTGAGCAGAACAATGCTTCTGTTGCTGGATACATTTCCGGAGTTGGTGGAATCCCCACATCCAGCCCACCCATCCCCCCCAGAAAAGGAGGCTCTCTACTCTTTCCCTGTTAAAACCCTGCCTGGAAGCAGCAGGGTGCTGCAGAGGATGATGCAGAAAAAGGAAAGGCATAGTGGATTACAGTACATCCATGCAGGACACCAGTCCATTACAGGGGCCCCTTCCCTGGTACTTTCTGGTAAATAAACCAATCACAGCAGAGTTGGGTGCAAAAGGTTAGCCTAACTATGTTGTCCCAAGGGCCAGCTTTCATCTTGCTCCAGCACCCAGAGCATTCCAACACAGTTCACACAGGTTAGGAAAACTGAATAGAAGGCCTCCATCCCTCCCCAACAAAAAACATTTGTCTTTCTTACCCAGGGACTGAAGACCGTTCAGCCTCAGAAGCCACTACAGCCTGCTCCAGGCGTTCCTCTGACTCATCGAAAATGATGGACATGATGGAGTCCACCTCCTCCAGGCTGCTGGTCCTGGACCCCACCAGTGTTTCCATCGAATCCTGCAAATGACAGTATTGAGGCTCAATCCAAAGCTCTCTGCATCCCAATAAGATGGCTGAAGCAGAGGGTGCATTGGCCCCATTGCCAAACTTTTCTTACCACTGAGGAGGGGGTTACATGCTCTTCTTCCACCACCATCTCGGTCCTGTTCAGAGGAAGAAGGTGAAATGTTTGACATCAGGTTAGTTTCTTCTTTCCAAGATGGGCAACTTAGCCCGTCCATCTTTTTCTACCCGGCAAGCTCCTACTGAACAAGCAGACGTCTTCACCCTCTGACATGCTACCTACCTTGGAAGACAGGGACTCCCTCTCGGGCCATCACCCTTTTCCCAGTGTTTAGCAGAACCAGAGGTAGAGGGTAGAGATAAATCAAAGTTCTCTCCATGTGATAGGAGATTGTCTGTTTTCCCAGGAGAGGGGGGCTACATTGCAGAGGGTAAAAAGACCGCAGAACGTGGAATATTTGGCCAATAGGAAGAGGCTCAAAATGGCTGTTCTTTAGTATTTCCCAGTATTTTCCCTTCCAAGCCATCAAAATTATTCCACAAATCCAAGAGATTCTTTTTGCGTTTGCTAGGCTGGCTAGGTTCCCCCAAGTGAGAATTACTACCTTCCCCCACCCGGTTTTGAGGCATTAACACCCCCCCCCCAACATTTGGCAAAGCCATCCTTACCCCTGGAAATGGAGAGCTTCTTTCAGGACAAGAGGGGCTCCACAGCTCACCACCTTCCTGTGCCTCCTCAATCCTGATCAAAGGAAGAAGGTGACATGTCAAAAAACATCCATCAAGCTCAGCCTCTCTTTTCTAAGACCAGCAATCAGCCTGCCCATCGTTTTGCTCCTGCAAGCCTCTTGTGGACAGGAAGCCATCTTAGGAAGAGGCTCTTACAGACTCTGCAGTCCATCAAGGGTGCCCCACCACGCCCAGGGTATAAGGAGAAATCATGGTACCTGTCAGAAGGCACAGGAAGACAGCAGCAAAAGATCTTTCTCAGATGTTTGCAGATATTCTGTGAAGAGAAGAGAAAATAGATGTGAGCCAATCAGAAGACATGGGAACCATGATTTTCTCCCCTACTGACAGTTTCTTGGCATCTGAGATGGCCACACTTACTCCAAAAAAGTTTCGTGCTGCCATGACAAGGGACAAATAAGGATATCTCCCAGCTGTTTCCCTGGTCCAAGCACGAATGAGCAACTGTCCACTGTTTGGTGGCTTTTTGTTCCTTCTGCAACCAAGGAAACAAAGGGCACATTCTGAACCTACACAAGGAGGGCAGCTCACTTTGTACTAGGAGTGGCTGGGTAACCCAGTGGCTGACACTCTTGGTCGCCTTTGGTCTCTGCCTTTCATGTGGGAAGTTGTCTCTTCATAAGAAGCACTGTCATTGTGGCATAAGGCACAAAAGGAATGAGAGGGTGCTCAGGTGGAAGGGACTTCTACTTCCAACCCCTTGCCCAAGGAAGGGCTCCTCATACCAAACCCTGCAAATGACAGAATCGAGGCTTATTCCAAAGCTCTCTGCATCCCAATAAGATGGCTGAAGCGTAGGGTGCATAGCCTCTATCAGCCCCAGTGCCAAATCTTTCTTACCAGTGGGGTGGGCGTTGAGTCCCCATGAGGAGAATTCTCCTCTTGCTCAGCTTTGTCTTCTGCCCCCTCACTCCTGTCCAAAGGAAGAAGCTGCAATGTTTAAGGGCATCAGGTTAGTTTCTTCTTTCCAAGATGGGCAACTTAACCTGTCCATCTTTTTCTACCCTGCAAGCTCCTACTGAACAAGCAGGGGTCTTCACCCTCTGAGATACTACCTACCTCGGAAGACAGGGACTCCTTCTCAGGCCATCACCTGTTTCCCAATTTTGGGATAGCTCCAGTGAATCCTGAAATAACAGCGCAGACATTCTGTTAACATATCAACAAACCTGCTATGACAAGGCTTCTACTATTGCCATCGTGATGAGCTGGGCAGGCCTTACCGATTCATTGGGGTTCTCCAAAATTGTGGTGAGCTGCGGCCTCCATGCACTCTTGTCATTTCTGAGGAGAGAATGAAGGACCAACGATCAAAATTAGTCATGGGCCCTTTTTTAAGACTGGACATGTGGAGGCTTCAAGAGGCCAGCCTGCCAAGAGGGTTGCCCAGAGTCATTCCTCCTTTAGCAGAAGCAGAGGTAGAGGGTAGAGATGCCTCCCCTCTGCAACACTTCTTCTAGCCTTCCTCTTTAGGGCTTTAGTGTAGCTGCCTTCTCGGGAGCTTCAGAATTCCTAAGCTGAGGACACATACCTTGTTGAAACAGGAAATTTCTCCTCCTTCCAGGGGCTCCGGGCAGTCACCTGATCACCCATCAATGCTTGAAAGTAACAATGGTTCATTTGAAGGTATAAATCAAAGTTCTCTCCATGTGATAGGAGATTGTCTGTATTCCCAGGAGAGCGGGGCTACATTGTACAGGGCAAAGAGACAGCAGAACGTGGAATATTGAGCCAATGGGAAGAGGCTCAAAATGACTCTTCCCTCCTATTTCCCTGTATTTTCCCTTCCAAGCCATCAAAATTATTCCACAAATCCAAGGGGTTCTTCTTGGCGTTTGCTAGGCTGGCTAGCAAGCACAAGAGTGAGAATTACTTCCTTCCCCAACCCGGTTTTGAGGCATTAACACCCCCCCCCCAAAAAAAAAAACATTGCAAAGCCATCCTTACCCCTGGACATGGAGAACTCCTTTCAGGACAAGAAGGGCTCGCAGCTCACCACCTTCCTGTGCCTCCTCAATCCTGATCAAAGGAAGAAGATGACATGTCAAAGAACATCCATCAAGCTCAGCCTCTCTTTTCTAAGACCAGCAGTCAGCCTGCCCATCGTTTTGCCCCTGCAAGCCTCTTGTGGACAGGAACCCATCTTAGGAACAGGCTCTTACAGGCTACACAATCCATCAATGGTGCCCCACCACGCCCAGGGTTTAAGGAGAAATCATGGCACCTGTCAGGAGGCACAGGAAGACAGCAGCAAAATACGTATCTGAGATTATTCCAGATATTTTGTGAAGAGAAGAGAAAATAGATGTGAGCCAGTCAGAAGACTTGGGAACCATGATTTTCTGCCCTACTGACAGTTTCTTGGCATCTGAGATGGCCACACTTACTCCCAAAAATTTTTTTGCAGTCATGACCAGGGACGAATAGGGATATCTTCTATCTATTTCCCTGGTCCAAGCATGAATGGCCAACTGTCCACTGGTTGGTGACTTTTTGTTCCGTTGGCAACCAAGGGAAAAATGGCCACATTCTGAACCTGCGCAAAGAGGGCAGGGACTCCCTCTCGGGCCATCACCCTTTTCTCAGTATAGGGATAGCTCCAATGAATCCTGAAATAACAGTGCAAACATTTTGTTGGCATATCAACAGATCTGCTATAAAAAAGCTTCTGCTATTGCCATCCTGATGAGCTGGGCAGGCCTTACTGATTCATTGATGTTCTCCTCCAAAATCATGGTGAGCTGCAGCCTCCATCTGTCCTTCCTGAGGAGAGAATGAAGGACCATGAAGGATCAAAATTAGTCATGGGCCCTTTTTTAAGACTGGACATGTGGAGGCTTCAAGAGGCCAGCCTGCCAAGAGGGTTGCCCAGAGTCATTCCTCCTTTAGCAGAAGCAGAGGTAGAGGGTAGAGATGCCTCCCCTCTGCAAACATTTCTTCTAGCCTTCCTCTTTAGGGCTTTAGTGTTGCTGCCTTCTCGGGAGCTTCAGAATTCCTAAGCTGAGGACACATACCTTGTCCAAATAGGAAATTTCTCCTCCTTCTAGGGGCTCCAGGCAGTCATCTGATGACTCATCAATGCCTGAAAGTAACAATGGTTCATTTGAAGGTATAAATCAAAGTTCTCTCCATGTGATTGTCTGTATTCCCAGGAGAGGGGGGCTACATTGTAGAGGGCAAAGAGACAGCAGAATGTGGAATATTGGGCCAATAGGAAGAGGCTCAAAATGACTCTTCCCTCCTATTTCCCAGTATTTTCCCTTCCAAGCCATCAAAATTATTCCACAAATCCAAGGGGTTCTTCTTGCATTTGCTAGGCTGGCTAGCAAGCACAAGAGTGAGAATTACTTCCTTCCCCCACCTGCTTTTGAGGCATTAACACCCGCCCCAAAACATATTGCAAAGCCATCCTTACCCCTGGACATGGAGAGCTCCTTTCCGGACAAGAGGGGCTCTGCAGCTCACCACCTTCCTGTGCCTCCTCAATCCTGATCAAAGGAAGAAGGTGACATGTCAAAGAACATCCATCAAGCTCAGCCTCTCTTTTCTAAAACTGGCAGTCAGCCTGCCCATCGTTTTGCCCCTGCAAGCCTCTTGTGGACAGGAAGCCATCTTAGGAAGAGGCTCTTACAGGCTCCGCAATCCATCAAGGGTGCCCCACCACGCCCAGGGTATAAGGAGAAATCATGGTACCTGTCAGGAGGCACAGGAAGACAGCAGCAAAAGATTTTTCTGAGATTCTTCCAGATATTCTGTGAAGAGAAGAGAAAATAGATGTGAGCCAATCAGAAGACTTGGGAACCATGATTTTCTCCCCTACTGACAGTTTCCTGGCATCTGAGATGGCCACACTTACTCTAAAAAAATTTTGTGCTCCCATGACCAGGGACAAACAGGGATTTCTCCTTGCCGGTTCCCTGGTCAAGCACGAATGAGCAACTGTCCACTGTTTGGTGGCTTTTTGTTACCTTGGCAACCAAGGAAACAAAGGCCACATTCTGAACCTACACAAGGAGGGCAGCTCACTTTGTACTAGGAGTGGCTGGGTAACCCAGTGGCTGACACTCTTGGTCGCCTTTGGTCTCTGCCTTTCATGTAGGAAGTTGTCTCTTCACAAGAAGCACTGTCATTGTGGCATAAGGCACAAAAGGAATGAGAGGGTGCTCAGGTGGAAGGGACTTCTACTTCCAACCCCTTGCCCAAGGAAGGGCTCCTCATACCAAACCCTGCAAATGACAGAATCGAGGCTTATTCCAAAGCTCTCTGCATCCCAATAAGATGGCTGAAGCGTAGGGTGCATAGCCTCTATCAGCCCCAGTGCCAAATCTTTCTTACCAGTGGGGTGGGCGTTGAGTCCCCATGAGGAGAATTCTCCTCTTGCTCAGCTTTGTCTTCTGCCCCCTCACTCCTGTCCAAAGGAAGAAGGTGAAATGTTTAAGGGCATCAGGTTAGTTTCTTCTTTCCAAGATGGGCAACTTAGCCTGTCCATCTTTTTCTACCCTGCAAGCTCCCACTAAACAAGCAGGAGTCTTCACCCTCTGAGATACTACCTACCTCGGAAGACAGGGACTCCCTCTCAGACCATCCCCTGATTCCCAGTTTTGGAAGAGCTCCAATGAATCCTGAAATAACAGTGCAGACATTATGTTAACATATCAACAAACCTGCTATGACAAGGCTTCTACTATTGCCATCGTGATGAGCTGGGCAGGTCTTACCGATTCATTGGTGTTCTCCAAAATTGTGGTGAGCTGCAGCCTCCATGCACTCTTGTCATTTCTGAGGAGAGAATGAAGGACCAACGATCAAAATTAGTCATGGGCCCCTTTTTAAGACTGGACATGTGGAGGCTTCAAGAGGCCAGCCTGCCAAGAGGGTTGCCCAGAGTCATTCCTCCTTTAGCAGAAGCAGAGGTAGAGGGTAGAGATGCCTCCCCTCTGCAAACACTTCTTCTAGCCTTCCTCTTTAGGGCTTTAGTGTAGCTGCCTTCTCGGGAGCTTCAGAATTCCTAAGCTGAGGACACATACCTTGTCGAAACAGGAAATTTCTCCTCCTTCCAGGGGCTCCGGGCAGTCACCTGATCAACCATCAATGCTTGAAAGTAACAATGGTTCATTTGAAGGTATAAATCAAAGTTCTCTCCATGTGATAGGATATTGTCTGTATTCCCAGGAGAGGGGGGCTACATTGTACAGGGCAAAGAAACAGCAGAACGTGGAATATTGAGCCAATGGGAAGAGGCTCAAAATGACTCTTCCCTCCTATTTCCCTGTATTTCCCCTTCCAAGCCATCAAAATTATTCCACAAATCCAAGGGGTTCTTCTTGGCGTTTGCTAGGCTGGCTAGCAAGCACAAGAGTGA